GTGCATCTATAAAAAATAGAAAGAAAAAAGCACAAAATCAAATATAGAATGATAACTGCCACAAAAAGAAACTAATTGACAAAAGAACTCAGATTTAAAAAAAAAAAAAAAAAAATGGCGTTGAAAGAAACCTATTGGCAAAAGAGATAAGGCAGAAATTTTGAGGTCAAATAATTTTTTTAAAAAAAAATTAATACGTAAATAAACGCACACATATATGTATAATTTATTATTGTTTTTTTATTATGTTAATTCATGTTTTTAACTAAAGTTTGAAATTGATTATTCGATTATATAAAAAAAAAATTTATCATGATTATTTAACATTTACGCCCTATTTTCATGCGAATACCTAACGAATCTTGCGTACATGAGGTGGCTTCGAAAAATTATGTACTTTTAAATTATACCACTAAACTGTTTATATATGCAATCTCATATAGAAGTAATTCGATATATATACGATGAGGTCGACAATAAGGAAAAAATAAATAAAAATCACGAAACATTGTTTTGCGTTACAGTTTAATTTACCTAAACTCTAGCCTTGCTAGCAATTTCAACTATGCCTTGCTAAAAACCAAAATTCAAGCTAAGAAAAAAAAAGAAAAAAAAACAATAGATAATTTGACTATTTACAAAACTGCTGGGCGATTAATATCATTACCGATTCAAAACCTCTCAGCGGCTTCCATGCAGTGCTAGAACTTTGGGCGGACGGGCCTGCCCGAAGCCTGAATTTTTTGGGTTCGGCGGGCTGACCCAACAGCCGGCCCTTCCAATGGATTATTTTAGTTATGGTGGTATTTCTGTTGATGCCCAACACAACGTGGGAAAAAGGCAATTTCCTACTAATGAATTTATTACGTAGGAATCGTAAACACAACCAACTGAGGAACCTGCTAATCCGAGCCGTGGTGGACGTACTGGAGGTCGTGGTAGCAATGGTGGTGGGCATGGAGAAGTGGTGAGTGCAAGTGCTACTGCGTCGGCATGTGTCGCAGGCTCCAAGAGGAAATGCAAGCGCAAGTCGACAGTTTGGGATCATTTCGATACAATTGAGGAGATCGACACAGACGGTAACACTAAACATATAGATCTGTGTAAATATTATTTATCTAAATTACAAGGTGACATTATTTACAGTACAACACACTTGAGAAAACACTCCGAAAAGTATCTTCGAAAGCTTAGCCAATCTGGTAGAGCCGAACTCTGCCAAACACAGTTATCTTTTGATCGCGCAACCAGTGGTCTAGCCATTTAGAAATACGATCCGCAAGTAGATCGTATGGAAGTTGCACGAATGATAGCTGCATTAATCAGCTACTTAGTTTTGTAGAGCATCCTAGTTGGCAATGATATATTAAAATTGTACATAATCCTAATGGACAGTTCACTTCAAAAACTACTCTTAGGAAAGATTTGTTAAAATTATTTAGAAAAGAAAAAGAAGCATTAATAAACCTTTTATACTCGACTAGCGGTTACATTCCGTTAACGGCAGATATTTGATGTGCCGTTGCCAATAAAAATTATTTAGATGTAACCGGATATTACTTTAAAGGATTCGATTTAGATAAGAAAATATTAGGTTTTAAATGTGTTTTAGGATCACATAACGTCGATTTAATATATAATACAATTTTAAATGTAATTATTGAATTTAGATTAAGAGATAAAGTAATGGCTATAATATTAGGTAATGCTAATGCAATTGAGTACTTTGAAAATGATTTAAGTTTATTCAGTGATGGTACTATTTTTTATCAAAGTGCATGCCACGTTATTAATTTAATAATTAAATCCAGTTTAAAAGAAATGGCTACTCACATTAAAAGAATTAGAGATACTATCGCATGGATTCAAGGTAGTAACCAAAGAGAACAAGATTGGTTTAAGTTCTTACAAGCATTAAGTCTACCTCCTAGAGCATTAGCCTTAGATATGCCTGTAAGATGGAACTCAACTTATATTATGCTTCAACATTGCATCCTCTATAAGGATGTTATAATAAACTATATCTGTGCAAAATTAGGAACATGACATATAAACGCATATGATTGGTAAATTACCGAAATTTTGTATTAATTTTTAGGTAGGTTTCATGAAGTTACTTTAAAACTTAGTGGAACGTATTACCCAACATTACCTTTAGCTTTAGGTGAACTTTTAAGAATTAGTATTTTAGTTAGTGAATTTATGGCAGACTCAATCTTAGGAGTTCCTATCGCTTCTATGGAAAAGAAATTTAAAAAATATTGGTCTAAATTGCCTTTATTTTATGGTTTTGGTATTATTTTTTATCCTATATTAAAATTAGATAGTTTAGAATGTGGTTTAGAAAACTTAAGTGAATTTTTAGGCATCAATTGTTCTGATCAATTTCCAACAATAGAGGTAAAAATATTTTCAATCTCTAGTAAATATGAGAATAGGTTTAGAAACACAAACTCTTGAGTACAGGAACCGCAACAACAAGATGAAAATCCGCATTTATTCTTGAATGTTTTCGGGTTGAAGAAGAAGATGATGATGACTCAAATAGAAGCTGAGAGTGGATCTTCATCAACAGGTGGTGGCGGCAGCGGCGGTGGCTTCAACGAGCTTATGGTGATCCTCATCTAGGGCTTAGTAGTTGACGGTACTGGAGAATCACTTGACTTAGTTCAATGGTCGAGGGCACGAGCATTAACTTGGCCAGTCCTAACTCGATTAGCAATTGATATTTTTTCGATCCCAGTTTCTATTGTTTCATCAGAACAAGCCTTATGACTGAAAGAATACTTGAGGAACACCGAAACACATTGCAAAGGGACACTATTGAAGCCTTGGTCTGCATTAAGGATTAGGATCATGCCCATCAACGTTTACAAGATACAAGTTCGCCAGCAAGTCAAGAATTGATCAATGAATTTAATAGATTAACATTTAATTTTGAAGACGATCCTTCAACTTCAAATTAAATTGTAATTTGTAAATATGTATTTACTTTTGACATTGTAATTGTATACTTAGACTTTATAAGTTTGTAAAATTTATAATTCGTCCCAAAATGATTGCACTCTTTTTCCTTATCAAGTTTTTATCCCAATTGGATTTTTCTTGGTAAGGTTTTTAATTAGGCAATCATGAATTACGAATTTAAAAATTAATATACAAAACTAATTTATTAAATTGTGTTAATAATATGTATTGAATGTTGATTTTAGTTTTTATATAATTTTAACACAGAATAACTTAATAATTATTTATATACAAATACAATTACTAAATAATAGTATATTATATAAAATATATATATATATACAATATTATAAAAATTAAAAAATATAATAATAAAAAATTTCGCGCAATTTAGGCGTGCTCGGGTAACCAAAACTAGGCTCGCGGCCCGTCCATGGGCTTTCCGGGCTCTGGCGGAAGGCTTGGAAAATTCATATGGGTCAGGTCGGCCGTCAAGCTCAAAATTAATTTTTTCGGATGGTCGCGGACGGCCCCATCCAAAGTTCCAACACTACTTCCATGAGAGAAAAGAAATTCCATAATGCAATGCAAGTAAATGGGTCATATTATCATATGAATAGAAGGGACTCCAAGGAAAACAATGTTGAAATCAACCCTGGGCCAAGCCCATGAGCTAAATTGATTTAGCCCAATTCAATAGAATAATTTCTCTCTCACACATTGTATATCCTTTGGGATCCTGGTGTACATAAAGCTAGTAGTTCACCGATTGAATCCAAGTGTTGGAAAGTTTTTACACACGCCGTTGATGAGGCCATTGCCTTATCTGAAGCCTATATATTGTATAGGCCTTGTTCGTTTAGTACATTTGAGTTAAAAAGTAAATTTATATGAAATAAAACACTACAAAAAAAATTTAATTTAAATTTTTATTAAAAAAAACACTATAGCAAAAAGTTTAAGTTATGATTTTAACGGTGAATACGAGTTAAAGAAGCCAAGAGAAAGCTTCAAGAAAGCACTGAATTGGAGGCCAAGTAGCTATTAGAGCATCTCCGATGCGAATACTAATGTTAATTGTATATTTAGAAAAAAGTATAAAGTATGTAATTTTCATTTGTTCTCAAATGCATAATACTATTTGAAATGCTAAATTTACTTTTCCCTATAATCATTAAGTTTTGTAAGTTGTAAAAGTAAATTTTTTTAAAAATAATTAGAAAATACAAAAATTGCTATGATTACATGAGAAAGTAAACATTTCAAACAACAATAATCAAATGTCAAATTTATCATATGTTATATTTAGTGAGAAATTTACCACAAAGTATAACATATAGTAAATTTAGCATCACAAATAGTAATGCATTGCAAAGTATTTATTTAACCTTCTCTTTTCTTTTCTTTTTTTCGTCGATATTCATGTAATGCTAAGCTTAATTTACCTAATTTTAACCAGAAAGGTTGACCAAGTTTGTCAAGCGTAAGAGATTTTAGGTTCCGTAAAATGGTCTCATTGAACTTTTAGTTTTGACTAAACTTTGTTAAAAGGGAGGATTCTAAGATGAAACCAAAAACACATTAATGTTATTTAATTCCTAAAAAACACATCGTAACACATGACATTTTTTATAAAACACATAGGATATTTTCATCAATAAATAAATAATTGAATAAGACATGACAATTTTGTAACACATGACATTTTTTCATCGATAAATAAATAATTGAATAATCATTAAAACCACACATATATATATTTCTAACGAATAAAAAAAAAAAAACAACCGTGCCACTTAATTTAGATTTAAGTGGCCCAGTCTCAATTAATTATAAGAATTCTATTCAGCTGTTTACATTTTTTAAAATCATATAGACTAGAGCCTTTCGCCACTTCATTCCCGATTTTGCGCGTTTCTTAAATTTAATGAGGTGGATTCCACTGGCCTGTCAACCAATAGAATATGCTAGTGCTCTTAACCTCTTTTTTAAATAAAGGAAAAGTTAATTGGGAAAAAAAAAAGCAAGAAAGATCTTACAAACATATATAAATCATAAGATCAAATTAAGCACACCACACTACATGCAGTTGAGGCCAGCTTATTTTATTACATACACGCAACATATATATAGTAGTACAAAATTACTAGCTTTCTCTTGATATCATGATCAGAGAGCTCATAACATATGATGATTTATTCGATCTCGTCCCTTTATATATTAAATTACGCCTGATCGACAGGCATTTTGAGCATCCCATATTTTGGATTCCTAAGACTAAACCCATAAGGCCTTTGATTATAGCAATCCAAGTTATCCCCAGGGTCCACTCCCAGCAAGCCACAGTACCTCAAATAGAAACCAATTCTATCTTCCACCCTATCATCAGGACCCGGGAAACCGCATTCTAGACCTCCATTGATGATGTTGGTGGTCATACCGTAGCCAGGAAGTCGGCCGGCTGCTATGTCTGCTGGAGTTGGCGTCCATTGACCGGTCATAACATCGTGGCATGAAGGTTTCGGGGCTTGTGGAGTCATCCAAAACCATATGGCTGTCTCGAATGATACAATGACGTCTGTGGCAACCAGATCGGGATTGCTAAGTAGGTTTAATCCAAGTGCGGCTCCTGCTGGTCCGTAATTGAAGTTGCTGATATGTTTCAAAAACTAATTTTTTTAACAAACAATTATGAGAGAAAATAACTGATATTTTTTAAAAAGTTGTTCACTTACGAACAATCACATCTTAATTATTTTAAAATAAGCGCAGTAATTAATTAATTAATTCAATTTCTAGATTACTACTTACTAACTGAGTTGGATTGGTCCTCGGCCGTAATAACTTTGACCAGGAACACAAGGCCATTCAGTGCTAGGAACACAGTAGCCAGCTGGGGTTCCTAGCTCCCTATTATAGCAATATCCCCAGGCATACGGACCATCCGGTGCTGTGGGCCATCCTCCTACACGTGCGCAAAACAATAATATAAGTAGTCACGATATACATAGATATACATACATACATAATTTCTTAAAAAATAGAAGAGAGTGATCAATTAGGTAGTATCAAATTAGATCATAAATACGTATATACATGTAAAACGGTCAAATTCATATATATATATATATATATATATATATACCACGTTTATTAAATTTTTATATTTAATAATAAACGCTCATAAAAACGTAATTATTAAAAACCCCATCTATATATGCATACAAGTACCTCTGGTTTCATGAGAAGTTTGGCCGAAGAAAGCCGCGATCTCTCTCTTACGATCTTCAAGAGTGCCGGTAGCACCAAACTCAGGGAAACGTCTGGCGGCGGTAACGAAACCGTCGTAAGTGTAGAAGCCTACAGCACAATTCGGATCATCGTTTCGATGGAGAAGCATTTCTTCGAAGAGGGACTCAGAAACGATATTGGCGATGTCGTCGGGAGAAGGGGGAGGCGGCGGGACATAGGGAGGAGGTGGTGAAGGCGGTGGAGGCGGTGGAGACGGTGGCGGTGGAGGAGTAGGAGCGGGGCATTGGCATTGGCAGTTTCCGGGGGCACAGTAGGCGTCGGTGGTGCCGCAGTATCCGTAGCTGCTGCAACAATACCCCTCCGGACAGTTACAATTGGGATATTGTGTTCCACATTGTTGAGCCCCGGATGTTCCTACCAACAAGCCAAGGGACAAGATTATTATAAAACTAGCACTGCGCAAGTTAATCATCTTGATTTTCTCTTGCACTGAGTAGTAAGGTGGTTCATGAATGAGATTGCAACGTGTCTATATATAGTGTTTCAACCCCACCTACCTCCAAACCACGTTTTTTTAATTTCCTTTTTTGATTAGATAGTAAATGCACTCACTTAAAATGTCTATATATAGTGGTTCCTTTTTTGAAACATGGAGTCATGATTCGTACATATGTCTATAAATTTATTTACTTTATTAATTATGGCTAGATTCAGATTTTTTTTTTATTTCATGTTTTTTTTTTTCTTTTCACTAATGCAATGGATCAGTAGGAGATTTACCTAACACCATCCAATTTCTTTAAAGAAATGCTTCCCCTAATCATAGTACGTAGAGAGCGTATTAAGTTAAAAAAAAAAAAATATATGTGAGAGCGTTTTTTTGAATAAGTAGTAAATGCACTGTTACCTCCAAAATATGTTCATTCATTTGAATACATTTTCTTTCTTTCTTTGAACCCTCCGTACCTTTCTTTTTTTTTAATTAGTACTAACGGTAATACACAGTTGAGACAATGAAAATTTATTAATTAATCAATATATTATTTAACCGAGTTTAATTAGTACTCTTGAGACCAAGCCAGGACCGGCTAAAAATATTATTTAATTGGAGTTATTAATTTATCGAGGTAATATTGTATTACATGTTTCATTCATCTGAATATATTTTATGTTTTATGGTTTTTTTCTTTTCTTTTTTTTTTTTTTTTTTTGTATTACGGTGTTGATCGATCTATAATTCAGGTATATGGCCTCCAAAGCGGCTAACCCATATTTTTCTAATAGGGTTTTGGAATTCCTCCTACTATTCGGAAACACGTATTTCTATTAACTAAGACTACAATAATAATATTACATCTGAGATATGTTCGAGTTTTGCTTGAATGTCTGGTTTGTACTCACTTAACTTTATTAATTTCTTTATTATCTTTCTTTTTGAAACATGGAGTCATTATTCGTACTCAATTAACTGTGTCCATTATCCCTCTGACTAAATTTATTTACTTTATTAAATATGGCTAGATTCAGATTTTTTTTATTTCATGTAATTTTTTTTCTTTTCATTAATACAATAGATCAGTAGGAAATTTACCTAATATTTATATGGGTGTGGGAAATCTCATTCACTTACTCAGCTTTATTCTTATAAAATGAGAGTGTATGTCATGACTGGGAAATTTATCGAAAAAATTATTGTATAAGATAACATTTCTTAGAATTCTTTATATTATGAATATGAATACTTTTATGATAAATATTTGTTGATATTAATATTGAATAGTAACTTATAAGTTAAAGATCAAAAATTTCTGAATTATATATGATGCAGTTACCGAATTTCACACTGTAATTAAGAAAGAGGCGTGGAACGCTGTGTTATTCTCACAAGAGGACAAACACATGAATATTAAGTTTATAAAATGAAAAAGAATTGAAAAGACGTCAATTCTAGGGTTTTAGAAACAGTTAGAATGAAAAATGGACGAAAAAGGGGTTCGGAACACCGAACTGAGAAAATTAGGGTTTTTGACCGATTAGGATTCACCGAGTCAAAATTTGTTGACCAAGATTCGACCAATAGGTCACTCTTGAAAAGTTAGTCAAGGTTGAGTAAAGTTGACCAACTGTCTGAAAAACGTAGATAAAACGCGTACCGGATAGGAATTAAACAGAACTAAAATAAGATAGTTATTAAAAATGAATGGTTGAAATTTAAGGTGATAAATAGATGGAGGGCTGAGATTAGGACACATGGAAAAGGGAAGGATGGCCAGCCAAGCTTAGGAGAGAAGCGAGAAAATATGTTTTTTTTTTTTTTTTTTGCAAAATAGACTCTAGAAAATGTCAAAATTGCACCCCAAGTCCCTATCCTATTATGACCGGTTCTTTTAAGGGGGAAAAATGCAACCAAAATGTTCATTTTCCATGCACAAGCACCAGAGAACACTCAGCCAAAGAGAGAGGAAAAAAAACTTCCTAAAGTGGGAAAAACAAGTTCAAATCGAAATCGGTGGAAAATCACCATTGATTAGTGTCACTATAGCTTTCTCTTCATTCTTATAAGGTAAAATTTTAATTTTTCTCCTTATTTCCTACATAGCTGTACGTCCATGAATAGTAGAGACCATGGAAATGTTTTGCTAAGGATGATAATTTGCTTATTGTTATTAATGGTATCGAAAAACCTAATGACCAAAGGATAAATTTTTTGTTTATGGAAATTCTTGTGAGAATGATGATGAAACCCTACAGCTTGTGTTGTTTATGATGATGTGAAGAATGAGAAAGGCTGTGTTATGTGTTTGAAAGGTTAAAACAACGGATAAAATGAGCTATGGTTAGCTTGAAAAATACGAAAATTAGGCAGAATTCTACTGAAATTTAGTTTGAGAATGTGAACCAAATCCAGTTATAATAAAGAATAGGAGGAATGAGATGTGTGAAATAAGTTGATCAGGTGATCGAAGATGTGTGAAAATAGAAAATGATGAAAAATCTCAATTTCATACCAAAATCAAAAACTAAGCTATTTACCAGAAAATTGTACCCGACTCTTATTTGGCTAGAGGATCAAGATAGAAGTTGTATGTATCCAACTACATGAATGAGATTGCAACGTGTCTATATATAGTGTTTCAACCCCACCTACCTCCAAACCACGTTTTTTAATTTCCTTTTCTGATTAGGTAGTACATGCACTCACTTAAAATGTCTATATATAGTGGTTCCTTTTTTGAAACATGAAGTCATTATTCGTACTCACTTATCTTTGTCCATTATCCCTCTGACTAAATTTATTTACTTTATTAATTATGGCTAGATTCAGATATTTTTTTATTTCTTGTTTTTTTTCTTTTATAAACTCTCTTTTCGATTATTCAAATAAAATTGGGGTTAATATAATTTTAGTAATTTGAAAACAACAATCCTCGTGGGACGATATTCTTATTCACTATTATATTACTTGGTTGCGATAGTGTATACTTGCGTTACGATTTTTCACAACAAGTTTTTCGCGCCGTTGCCGGTGATTGTTTTGTTTTTACTAATATCGATACCAAATAACTCTAGTTTTACTTTGAATTTTATTTTGTTATTTATTTTCTTGTTCTTGTTTTGTGCTCTACAGGAATTTACTCTATGTGCATGTGAAAGTTTGGGAGCAGTATTCTACTTCCTCTTGATTCAAAAATTGAGCGTACTTGTCGAAGAAATAGAAAAGATAAGAGAGTAACTGTCATTCAGTCGCAAGAAACTATGGCTGATCCTGAAAGGGCAATAAATGAGAACAACAACAACAACATACCACTGAACAATCCACCAGTGGTTAATCAGCCAATGGCTTTGCGAGATTATGCATTGCCACCAACCGGTGTTCAATCAGTGATCAAGAGGCCTGCTATTCAGGCGAATAATTTTGAATTGAAGCTGGTGATGTTGCAGATGATTCAAGCGATCCAATTTAATGGATTGCCGAATGAAGATCCTAATGCTCACATCATAAATTTTCTGGAGATTTACAATACTGTCAAATACAATGGAGTTAATGATGAATCTCTTCGACTTCGGTTGTTTCCTTTCTCTTTGAGAGATAAAGCAAAACATTGGTTGAATTCACTGCCGCCAAATTCGATCACTAGTTGGGAAGACTTAGTTCAGAAGTTCCTTTCTAAGTTTTTCCCACCGGCTAAAATAGCGAAGATGCGCATCGAGATCAATAATTTTGCTCAATATGAAGGTGAAACTCTATATGAAGCATGAGAGAGATACAAAGAATTACTGAGAAGTTGTCCTCATCATGGTCTACCTAAATAGATGCAAGTCCATAATTTCTACAATGGGTTGAATGGCACTACAAGAACTTTAATCGATGCATCTGCAGGAGGAGCATTAATGAAGAAAAATGAAGATGAAGCATATGAGTTGCTAGAAGATATGGCAACCAATAATTACCAGTGGCCTAGTGAAAGAAGCATACCAAAGAAGACAGCCGGACTACATGAGATTGATGCCATCACTAATTTGACTGCCCAAATTGCTTCTCTTTCCAAACAATTACAGAATACTCAATTGACAACCAATGCCATCCAAACATCATCCCCAGTGTGTGAATTTTACAGCGGATCTCACCAAAGTTCTGAATGTCAAGCTGACACAGGTACAAATGGAGCAGGCTCAATATGTGGGGAATTACAATAGGCAGCTTAACAACCCTTACTCCAACAGGTTTAATTAAGGATGGCATAATTAGCCAAACTTGTCTTGAAGAAACACATAAAATGTGTTGCGGCCCGAACAGAGCAACCCGCCACACGAGAAGAAGGTGAATCTGGAAGATACAATGGCTCAATTGGCTACATCTCACACGCAATACATGAATGAAACCAGGACAAATTTTGAGGATCAATCGGCTCAGATAAAAAACTTAAAGGTGCAAATCAGTCAAATGGCTAATATGTTTTCTGAGAGGCAACAGGGAAATTTGCCTAGCACATCTGAAGTGAATCCAAAAAGAGATGGGAAGGAGTGTTGCAAGCAGTTACCTTGAGAAGTCGTAAAGAATTAGAAGCTCCAATGAGAATTGAAAAGCTTGACAAAGATTTCAGCACACCATAGCTGCAAGATGTGCCACCCAGAACAATCATCACAAACATATAAATACGATAATGAAGTCAAAAAATAAGTACTAACCTTCTTATTGCGATGCCGAGAGTATGATACCCGACCATGTAAGTTTGGATACTTTTGGTTGCTACAATTAGTTTTATTTGTCTCTGATATTTTCTGTTTATGATTAACTGTAATAAGTAATAGTTACTTGAAATTATGTATAAAAATTCATCAAGTTCTAACAAATCTATAATTACTTGAAATTTGTCACCGGAGAACCTATCGTAACAATGATCCTAATGAAGTTGATTCCTCATGTTACTCGAGAGACTTTCTCTATTCGTTTGAAGTGGCAGTGCAAGGAACTTTTCTAGTCCTTATAGCACTTTGCTGCCTCC